AACACCAAAATATGTGTAAAAGCAGCTGGATTCAACGGTCAAAAGTGGGCGAACACATGACAGAGATAGGGTATGAGATAGAATGGTCTCAAACTCTTAAGCTTGCATATTATTGTACGACATCTGCTAAAAGAAAGATAAAATAGGCTATTTAAATTGATAGAATAGGAAATACGTTCAATGGGAGGAATGGTGGTAAAAATGTGAGTTAGAACTATTTACGCTTGATTGGAAGATTGTAAGAGAGAGAGTGTGTTGATTCGCCATCCAAAAGAAGGCGACATGAAGACACTTTAGTAAAAGTACCATGATCATTATGAAAGATAATTAACCAAATTATTTTATATCTATATATGCCCGAACAGCTTCATTTTTTTAATGAGTATGCATAAGTGGTAAGATACAGGCGGACAGTGTTTTTGATCTATTGTTAATTTGAAACTATATACATACATGACAGACGAAAGCTTACCATGGTTTTATCGGAGTGGCGGGACGGTGATCCGAGGACCTTTTTGCATAATCCAGCTGCAATCTTCCTTTAGTTTTAAATAAGACCAGCCAACCAACTTTTTCATAGATATCGAAAGTCGCGCCACATCAAAATATAAATTTGTCCCTTTTTGATTCCATTATAAATATAATATGATAAAATCCTGACTTATGGCGCACTGCACCCTTTGTAATGCTGCCGAATGGTGGCATGTCGCAAATGTCCGCTTCACTATCCGCGTTGCATTCCCATTGGGAGGGCTTATTAGACCTAGGTCAGAACTGCAGTCCATTTTAGACGGGACTATCTTTTGGAAGCACAGGCTAAGTTAAATTCAGTGGTATAGTGATATCTTCTCGTATTATTTTAAAAAAATACAACGATCACCTTATATGACCTAGAGAGAGTGGTGCTCCTTTACAAGCAGAGGGTGTTCAGTCCCCATCCAAAAGAAGTCGACTCCACCTGTCCCACTGGTGATGGTCTTAACCTCACACTCGTTCAACCTGTAGATTAAGCTCATCAACCAAACCGGACGTACGAGATTACGCAATTCAATTTCATGTCTTTCCTTGGGTCATTAAACTTAGTGATCCTAGATGCACAAGTGATTGCGTAACCTGACTTAAATGCGTACAATCTTGCATCTCATTATCGTATCAAGACTTGCTTATGGACTTTCTCGGTCCCAGTCGAGGTTTTGTCTTGGATCATTTAGCTCTGATGATATGAGCCATTAATTTTTTCTAAATTATTCTAATTTTTGAACGGTATTACGTATATATATTAACACATGTACACTGATACAATCAAATAAAAGTATCATGGCTGACATGAATGTTAATTATTTATCTTTTGTAAGTTGGATTTCGAGATTACCAAGAAGTTAGATATTTTCAGTATTTCGTTTAAGGTGATCAACAACCCGTTGCTGCATTTCGTCACAATTGTATTAGTAGACCTTGCATTTCCATTGAATTTCTCAGCCTCACTTTCCCGTAAGCTATTCTGATACATGTTGTGAACTGCAGTTTCGACCTCACATAGTCTCATCAGAATCCCCAGCGGGACTCGAACCACGACGGTACAGCTTATAATCTCAGCACATAAGCCACTACGCCATATTGCCACAAGTACTCTTGGGTCATGCGAACTTCAAGGAAGGCTAGGCATTTCCCATATTTGATTCTGTGGTGGGATTGTTGATTAAGCAAGGTTATATTTGCTATAACAATCGACTACCTTACCTTTTTTATTCTTTTGTAAGTAAGACTATGCGAACTTTAATGAAAATGCAATGTGTATTCATATTATTGGGGGAAAATTCAACTACCAGTCTTTCATTACCTTAGACGAAATAGGGTGAATATCTCATATATATGATTTACTATTAGTCTCCAATGTGTAATATGTAAAAATGCCTGGCATTCCTTGAAATGACCCAAGGGCACTCCTGACAATGTGGTTTATTGGTTAACGTATCGAGATTATACGCTGCACTGTCCTGATTCGAGTTCCGCTGGGAGTGCTGATGAGACTCAGACAGTCCATCCTAGATTAAAATAGTTTTTGGATAGGCAAGTCTATGCGAAATTCAATGGAAATGCAAGGTCTACTCGCATCATTGTTGCAAACTTCAACTGCCAGTCATTGATCTTTTTAAATGAAATAGGGTGAACGCATCCCATGTATTTGAAAGATAATCAGCCAAATCATTGCATATGTTGATACATTTTCGTTTTTATTTATATGTTCATATAAGAGGTAAGATAGAGCTGGATAGTCTCCTTGACCTTGTGTAAACGTAAGACTTTTACAATAGTGAGTTCCAGCTCTGATAATATCCATCATATGATGGACGAAAGGTCAGCCCTTCTTCACCCGTAACATGAGAGGATATCTCGTGGACTGCGTTAACATATAGGCATATAGATCATGCGACTCGTTTGGACGCATCTTGTCCGAAGTCCCCTGCTATAGTAGTTATCATAATTGGAGCATCTACGTCCGCGGTCTGACACTGGGAATTATGATAATAACTATGGCAAAGGATTTCGGTCAAGATGAGTCCAACTAAGTCTCCTTGATAGCACGACCAGGTTGCGAAAACGAGGCCACCCCACTCCTATACATCGAAAGGAGACCGTGACCATATCAAAGGTCACACCGTCTTGGTTTTCATATCTTTAATAAGGTAGCTAGTGTTTTCTTTGCTTTCATCTTACACCTGACGATGTCATATTTGACACTATTTTGATGCGATAACTTCATAAAACTGTTAATTTCTTTCATCTCTATAATTCATTTGTTATAATACTGATTTTTACTTACGCATTCGTCAAAAGAATTAACCCAATTTTTCACCCATAATCAGATTTTCGATATGTTTGGATTTCGATATTTACATTCATTCTCACTTTGCTTGTTCATAATTTAGTTGAATTCATTTTCGAATGTTTTACTTTACTTTATTGACGTTTTAACTTTTAAAGGACTGTCTTGCTGCTGAAGCGTGGCTTGCAAAAGAGCGAGCTAGCCAGGCTGATTTACCAGCCAGCTTGTATCCGTCACAGACTCCTGTCTGGCAGCGAGAACCACTTGAGGAGATGAAGATTCATCCGACTGTTTCTTTGCAACAGCAGCTTGCTGCAAGCTATTCCTCTATACGGACAGAGGTCTCACCTATCCCAGAAGTTATTTATTCCAGACATTCGTCATCTCTTTTACCAGACCAAACTGAAATAGTTTCCTTGTCTTCCCCTTCTGTGTCAAAGACGGCTGTACCATATTCATCCGAATTTAAATCAGCTAGTCCAATCGGATTGATTACTAATGAGGCTGAAGAAGATACAAAACATGAGAATTTTAACGATGATAATGATGCGGATACTCTAAATTTTGGGGCACCATTAGAACATCCGGTTGTCGAATCACTGTTACTGGGTAATCCTGTAGGATCGCTTCACAGTCCAGTCATATCTTGTTCTTCACTGCAGGAGAAAGCCACTACATCTCCTGAAGATACTCCATCGAGTGATAGTAAAGATGACGAAGAAGAACTTGTTGAAACCTGGCGTGATGTATTTGGCTGACTCGTCAAATATCCTCATTTTGTAATACATCTTCTCTTTTGTGTGTACACTATCGGGCCATTTGCTCACCTGATTCCGTTCTCCTTCGCTCTCTTTATCTCGAATCTTTCGTTATTTCATTGTCTCTGTACTCACATATTTCTTGTTCACTCCCCCCAACCACCCCTGTGATTTGCCTGTTTCCTCGAGGTCCAATCGCTCGGTCCACTAAGTTCTTCTTTCACCTTATCAATATCGCATCAAATTTTTAATGGAATATCTTTATTCTAGCCGCAAGGACTAGAAGTTAATTTAAAAATATGGTATAGTTGGCGGTAATTTTTATCAGTTCTTTCTAAGCAAAGCATTAAATTGTCCCTTATCCGACAGTATCATTATGTGCTTCAGTAAAATTTTTAGTTTTTGATTTTTATAGCACGTCCACGATTTGCATGAAATGACTGGAATGGGCTAGCTCGTATGAAGTTTGGATTATTGGTAGGCCCACTTGTGGAGCACGATTAAATTAGTTAGCCAGTGTTAGAAAGCCCTAGGAAGTACGATGGACGGAGATACATTTAACTCTTTATCAATCAAGCTATAGATAACAGTAATAAAATATTTAACTTTCTTATACACCTTTCTTCGATTCTGGATTGCTGGAATGAAGAACTTTTGAGTGTTTTTGACGCTATTCCAGCGTTTAATAGGACTCATGCTTCCGTGGTAGCCACTTGGCGATATTCTTTTATTATATGGCATTGTTTCGGTACATTCCTTTGAAATGAACCTAAATAGGTGTCATTGTATATGGCCTTATGCCTTTATTACCACTCATTTCACTTTTACCTTAGCTATTACATTATAACAAATGTTAGTTAATGCGAATGAGGGTTAACCATGACCTTGGTGGCTGTCGAAAATGAGCTAAGTTTTTAAATAAGACTCCGTAAATCTGAAGATATTATTTTGGGTTATCCTTACCTGTTTTTATCGGACAAGGCCATATAATTCCTCTTTTTTGAATTTTCTATTTTAGTGGCTGCATCGTTTTGCTATATATATTCCGCTTACCCCACCCATAGTCCATAGGGACAAGGGTGGTTAAGCTAACTATGGCCCCTGCCTCTCTATTGATAGCTGAGATGGTATTAGCTGGCGCTTTCGCTATTAGCGACTTTTTCTTCCGCATTTAGTTTAGTATGCGATCCTATTTCCTATCTGACCTTACAATGCAATGGCTCTATCCCATAAAATGAAATTCTACCCTGTTCCTGCTCGTCATTTCTGGTTGTCTATTTAATTTTTATTTGCTATATCCCTCTATGCTAGCCTGCCACATAATTGCGTTTGGTCTTATTCCTCCTTAAAATCTTTGTCTGTAATTTTCTTTATCTGGAAATGTTTACTTATCCTTATATTAGTATCAAGCCTTTTGTGCCTGGATGCCTGTGGCACAGTTATTTGTGCATTCGCCTGTTTTCTCTCTCGTAGTTCTGAATAGCTGTAATCATAGAGCTTCACGTAAAGCGAAATAGGCGGAAAATCATCCACGTTTTAGGTTAGAACATCTGGGAAGGGCTTAGTTTTATGGCAGCCTAGGACTCAGGATCTCTCATGCTTAGCACCGTTTCCTTGACGTGCTCTCGTCTTAATTTGGTGGAATTTTCTATTTGAGAGTCAGGTCAATATTTATAAACGTCGAGAGAAATTTTAGTTCAGAACAACTTTCAATCAGGATTACTTGTTGTTTCTTTCACAGTACTGTAAAATAGGAGACAGCAGCTTGAGGTTTAAAAGGACTTCTCAGTTTGAGCTTCAGGATCTATAAATTCTCCATGAAAATCGTCAGAGCACATCACTAAGCACAAAGAAAAAATATCCAGCCGAATGCCAGGTGTAACTAAGTAGGATTGCAGCCGGCCATCTTTCTTATCTTTGTCCTTTGTTAATTATCCTAAAGCGTGGTGTTCTGCTCTGATGATGTCCGTCACACGAAAGCTCAGCAAGGATGTATCGGGATCGCACTGCTGTGCGCCGATGACCTATTCGCACAAATATACAACCCCAACTCCAAGGAAATCCCCCTACAGCTTCCGATGAGGCCGACATACGGATCCCTTCCACCTGCCTCTTCAAACGGAATGGGAGGTACTCCAACATCAGTACAAGTAATATTGTCGACCTTAATGGCAGATACATGCTTGTTTCATGCACAATACCACCCTTAAATAATACGATGGGGGCTTAGCATGTCTTAAAATTCGATTCTCTTCACCGAATGGCTCTCATATCAGTGTGTACAGCAGTAACGAATGAATTATGCACTGCATTGCCCCCAGTTCGATTCACCTTGGCAGTGCTGATGAGACCCAGGAGAGGGAGAAACTTCAATGCAGTCCATCCTGGATGAGAACTTGCAGCTAGCGCCACTTCTATATCTTCTTCCCATTCACTTGTAATCCTGTAAACGTATAGTCACATGAAATAGCCAACCAGATCTTGGGGTTTTTACTTCTAAGTATGCTTTTGAGACTACCAGCAGATCCTGAATCATAATTGTTCATCTTATTTCGTTGATGATGATTGAATCTTTCTACAATTATATTAATAGGCCTCACATTTTCATAGAGTTTCGCATAGCCTTGCTTCCCAAAAGGTATCCTCAACCAGGGTTTATTGCAGTGTTGACCTTGCCTGTCACAGCACCCCCAAAAGGACTTGAACCCAGGTAGTGCAGCCTAGTCTCGACACCTTAACCACTAAGCCGCACTGCTGCGGATGCAGAAGAGAATTTAAAATAAGGCCAGGCTTTTCCCATATATCCTTTGGTAAGATAGTCGAGACAAAGCTGATTTTGCTATAATAATCGACTAGATTTCTTATTTTATTTTCTAATTAGGCTTTCAGAACAAACAAACTGAGTGGAGCAAGGCTTTTGTTCAAGATCTGCTGGTAATCTTAAAAGCTTACTTATAAACGAAAATAAGTAATGCAAGCGATTGCTTCAGCAAATATAGAAACGGCCCGGCTTTTGAAAGTAACTTTGCCCTGTGGCCCTGGGACACTTGTTGCAGTGTGACTGTTTTTAAGATGTAGAGGCTAAGCTGCACTACCCGGGCTTAAGTCCTGTTGGGGTGCTGGTGAGGTCGAGACTCCAGTAGATTCTAGATGAGAGTACATTGTAAAAGGCAAGGCTAAATGAAATTTTATGAAAGCGTGAGGTCTACTCATATAAATGTGAAAAAATTCATTACTTTATGGGAATGGAGTGAACACATTTTTATTCAGCTCTTGGAGTGCCTCTGTAAGATACCAAAATTAAATTTAAGTAGGATTGAAGCCAGCTATCTTTCTTGGCATAAAGATGTGATGAATTTTATAATTTTCTTTTCTCGCTCTGCGATGTCTGTTTCATGATAGGTGACAATTCAATATATGTTTATCACGGTCTTATGAAGATGTAGCTATGAATTCTTCGAATAAATTGACGATAACCTCCAAGGCAATCCTTCAGTTTCTAGTGAGTCCCTTTTTTTCTACCCCTTTACACCGAACTTCCAAATTTACATGAGTTTTGCATGATACACGTAGTTGTAGCCAATGGGCGTGCACGATTTGACAGGCACGCTAAGGGAGTCAGGCGAGGTAAAGACTGCAGTTTATCCGGGATGGGAAAGCTAAGTTCTGTGCTTGTATTTTTGCAATCCGTAGATTTTATTTTAATGGAATTGAATTAAAAATATTATAGAGACATTGTTTCGCGTAACTTGAATAACTGCAGCAGCACGATGACCGAAAGCTCCCTAGGAGGCGTTTGTAAAATCTGAAGTTATATCTGTTACTTTTTTTACTTGCCCTCCGTGATTTGTGCGTTTCACAGATTATAGATTTTCCGGTGAATCTATGATTAATTCATATTTGTTTGGATGAGATCTGGAAATAGGAGAAATAATAATTAATGTCATATTAAATAATCGTTGCAATGAGCAATGAAATGCACTATTGAGAATCAAAACTTCATTATATAGGTTCAACATATACCTATCTGCTTACGCTTTCGTTGAGTTGTTTTAATTTCAATGCTTTCCCTTTACTTTCATATCTCCGTTTTATTCGCCCGATTTATGGCAGATGCACATCAAGATTGATCGCGAAGGATCGAGTACTGGTTTCTCTATGCCTAAGCACTTGAAATATACTTTGTGCCCCGCATTCTTCGTCTACAAGGAAGGTTTCGAGAATACCCGTAAATCAGTCATTTGAGATGTATTCACTCCGTTTCGTTTAAGATGATGAAGGATGGTGGAAAAATTCAACTACCAATCCTTCATCACCTTAGACCAGTAATTGCCAAACTGTGAGCCGCGGCGCCCCGGGTGAATACTAATCATATAACTTATTTATTAGAGGTCTCGATACCCTACTTATAAACGAAAAAAGAGTAATTCAGTTGAATGTTATAGCAAATATATCTTTGCTTCATCTATGATTCCTTCAATAGATATTATATGGAAAAACGCATGGCCTTCCTTGAAATTTACATTTCCCTGTAACTAAAGGCTACTTGTGGCATTGTGGCGCAG